CTGCCAACACAGCCTTTTCTAAACAGAAACGAATCTTGTTGGTACGTATATGTGAATGTACATGGAAAAGAGCAGGTAATACTTAGCTGGGGTAGAAAGAACCTTTTAACCATCTCCCTGCCTTAGGTTCTTCATTAGAAAAATGCCTTCCTTACAGATGGTTGCAATGACTGTGAAGTTCCGTTTTCAGACTTAGTTTTCTGTTGAGCAATAAAATGGTTCACCTGCAGTGCAGGATGGAACCACCCAACTTGAATATGCCATATTCCTCTGTTTCCTAGGTTAATGTTAGTGGTTTTCCCTCCCCAGCATTCTCTCTGGAGTTTAGCAGCATTCCTTTCTTGAAAGCAAAGACCTCATTTCCTATTTCTTTCATATCCTCTAATTTGCCCAGTACAGGGTCCAATTGAGAACAAGCATTTGTTAAAAACATTTTAGGTAATTAACTAAAAAACGTCTGGCTTGGGTTTCGGAGAGCATGAGAGATTGGGCACGGGAAGTTCTGGCAACGGGAGAATTGAACTCAAAGGGATATCTTTTTTCGTTACTATTTTTCTTTACTAATAAAAGAATTATAAATACCTTGTACATATAAAATTTGGGAGCACAAAATTGTTTTAAAAATGGTTCCGTCTGCTCCTAAATATACACTTAAGATAACTGAAAAAAAGTTGTACACAAATGTTCATAGCATCATTATTTGTAATACCCCCAAAGTGGAAATACCTTAAATATACATCAGTGGATGAATGAATAAACAATATGTGGCATGTCCATACAATGAAATATTATTTGATGGTAAACAGAAATGAAGTACTGTTACATGTTACAATGTAGAAAACATTATGCTAAGTGAAAGAAGCCTTTCACCAAAGACTACACATTCTATGATAACATTTTTGTGAAATGTCCAGAACAGGGAAATCTATAGAGACAGAAATTAGGTTAGTGGTTGTTTAGGGATGGGAGTGGGTGGGCTTGTGGATGATAGCTAAAGGGTACAGGATTTCTTTTTGAAGTGATAAAAATGTTATAAAATTTATTGTGGTAATGGTTGCACAACTCAGTGAATATTTTAAAAACGATTGAGAATTTTTCAATGAGTGAATTGTATAGTATGTGAATTATCTCTCAATAAAGCTATTATAAAAAAATTAGTGATCTAAAACCCCATCCTTAAATATCTACTGTTAATAGCATTATATTTCCTTCATCTTTAAATATTAAAATTTTTACACACTTTAGCTCATAGTTTACATAATCTTGTATAGTGTTTTCATTTATCATTTTATCATCATCATTTTCTTATCCCATTAAAAAATTTTTTGTAAACAGACTTTTAATGGCCACAAAATAAATTCCCTCATTGTAGCATAATTTCCATCACTATTCTTCTAGGTGTTGTACATTTAGGTTATATCTCTTTTTCACAATTAGAAGGTTACATTTTGGAAAGACTATGAAAACTTTTATTCTCATTTCTGAGCATAAAGAGTTGAAGTAAAAGAAAAAAAAATGTAGTGAATAATGCCTTCATTGAGTTTTAGACCAAGGTTTCACAAAATAAAAACTTTATGTCTTGGTTTTAGCCTTTGGGTAGAACAAAATAAATTTTCATCAGGAGTCTTTAGAAGAGCAAGCCCCACCAGCCCAGGGAGAGTTTTAGGTCAACATACAGATTAGCTCCTCCTCCAGACCCTGGCAAGTAGCAGAAGTCTCTTGCTTTCCTGCGTTAAGAGGTGGGCAAGTTGTCAGCCTGACTGAGTTCATATCTTTATACAGTAGGTTCTTTTTCCTAAGAGGTTCTACCTAATTTGATCCTTCATCATTTTCTGTTTCTCTGGTGGCTGACAGTATGAAAAAGAAGTAAGAATTTCCAGAGAAGAGTCTTCTCTAGAGAAAAGGATTAAAGTTTTATTCACTGTAAATTTTCATTTTATTATTTTCTAAAGAAAAAATTAAGTGCAGTGTTTTAGGCAGTTATCACCTTTCATCATATTCATCATATCTCATATTCTTATTTTAGGCTGATTAAAATATTTAAAACTTGAACATCTTCATATCATAACTCTGTTTAAATTTGTATACCCACCAGCCAATTTTAGCATGCTCCTTTCCATTATATTCTGTTTAGTCTCTAATTTCAATGTGTACCTTCCCTTCTCCCTTAAATTGTCCAATTCTAATTCAGAAGGGTAAGGAAATGCTTGGTCAGTTGTTGAGAGGAGGGTGTTGATCCTGTGTGTTTTTCTGTCATTTCATTCTTAACCTATTACATGTATTAATACATTTGTCCTGTCCTCACTGCCTTGACCTCTGATCACATTGCGAAGTACAAACATCTTCTGAGGAAGGGAGAGCCAGGCGCTAATGAGCTTGTGCCTTTGTTAGCCAGGGCTCAATTCAGAATTTCTGTTTTCTAACTTGGGGGAATAAGAAGCTTAGCTAGATTAAGAGACTTGCCTAAGTCACATAGCAAAAAGCTGAGATCAGGACTGAGAGCTGTTGCCAAACTCTTCCACTAAAATCTATAAACTTATGGAAGCTCACTCATACAATATATAACTTGGTGTAGGGAAGAAAAATAACTATGTATCCAGGTTGAACTGATCTCTCTCAAATTTCAAGTGAAGAAAGACCCTTAAAGGAAGAATTTAAGAGAATTAAAATGATGTGAACCTGAACCATGGTTCCTTTCTCATTCAATTATTTCCTTTTAACCACTGATGGCTTTTTGTGCTTGGCTGGGTATGTTTTCAGCTAGTCAAGCCTATGTTATGAAAGAGAAATAAGACACTTAATCCTGTGAATGATTAACCTGCATTGGCCTCCCTCCCCAGTAGCTTGCCCTTCCTGTATTGTAGTCTGTTTACTCACTTCTGAGCCAAATCTCCAAGGTCTCTTCTTATTGAGTGTAGGGCCATCTGGATCAGGAGTAGGGCCTTGCCTTTGTTTTATTCTGAAGATGATGTGACTGATTATACAGCTCCAGGCATTTGCATTTTTCAAAGGAATTTTTAAGTTTATTGCTTGCAAAAACCCAGTTACAGTAAAATATAATTTAAAAAAGTTTACAGATGAGGAAGTTGAAGCCAGGAAGTTTTGACTTTGCTAAAAAAGTTCCCCAACAAGTCAGTGGCAGAATTCAAATGGGTGTACACTCATATACTTAGTTTAGTGTCTAATTTGTTGAGGTGTATTTTTTTATTCTTATTTATAAAGCCAAGTAAAGCTGGCTTGAGTTATTTGTAGTTAATAAGTTTTTGTGTTTGACCTGTTGCTATTGAAACCCAGGTCAGGCTTAAAGATGGAGTTATATTCTCTGCATTCTTGGCAAAAAGCTGTTTGCTACTTTGTCATACTGTCTGAGAGAGAAACTCAACCTGAGAACCAAAAATTTATTCTCCAAGACAGCTGTCAGTAGGTTCAGTGAGACCTAGGGAATAACCTTTGGGCTATAGGTTTTCCTTCTGTGAACTGGAAGGCCTAATCAGGCTCCTAGAGGTGACAAGAACAGACTGTTTACTCAGTGATTTAGATTCCAGGGCTTGGGCACTTTTAATGGGATAAGAATCCCATGGAATATGAGTAATTTTGTGTGAAGGTCTCTAGAACTTAGTCCAGGGGCATAGACTCTTAGTTCCTTAGTAAAGGGAACTAAAGAGAAATGACTTTCCATTGTCATAATGAAAAGCAGTAGCAGAGAGAAGCCATATTTCCTGGCTTCTTTCCTTGGGCTGTAACCACTAGACTGCATAGATAAATATTTACTCAAGGAAGAATGCATAGCACTGAAGGAGCAAAGTCTTAAAATGGGTAAAATATACAAAATACTCCAACGTAGGTTATTATATTGACATCTGTGGCCACATACTGGTCCATGAAGGGGAAAGTTCTAGCCACTGAAACCTCAACCACTAGAAACTTACTCTGCAGGGCATCTTTGTAATTATGGCACTGACTAGCCCATGTTAATTAGCAACCCCTATTAATTCCTCATTTCAGTTCAGTTCAGTCACTCAGTTGTGTCCAACTCTTTGCGACCCCATGGACTGTAGCATGCCAGGCTTACCTGTTCATCATCAACTCCCAGAGCTTACTCAAACTACTCCTCCTGTTATTTTCCTAATGATCCTTAAATATTTTGCTATCTCCTTACTCTGCACATTTAGCCTTTGGTGGAGGCGCTGGTGAGTTCTACTTTCTGGTAGATTTGAGAGTCCAGATAGTCAAGAAAGAAAGAATAACAATAAGAAAGAGAGAGGAAAAAAAAAAGACACATCAATTTGACTAAGACAAGGATATAGTGTTGATGGCCCTCAGTGACCCCAAGCTAAGATCAGAGCAACTTGGATTTAGTGTTAAAAGCTCTTTAATGGAAGCTGTTTAAAAATAAAGCATATGAACCTAAGACAAGCTATGTTGGAAAGAGGGAACAATGCTGGAGCAAAGTCCAAGAGCTTGTGGTGAGACTGCATCCAGTGGGGCCGAGACTAGGAGTGTTGGCTTGGATCAAGGTTAGTGACTAAAATGCTCTTCTCCATGATAATCACATGACTAACTCCCTTAACCTCTGCATTCTTTACTTAAATATCATCTTGTCAATGAGACGTACACATCTATTCTGACCCATCTATTTGAACTTGCAGTGAATAGGGTGAGTTAATTAAACCTCATGTTGATTAATCCTGCATTACACAAGAAAATTTAATGCTATAGATGGTTGAGCTCCATGGTATTATAATCCTCGTCTCGCTTTTTAGTTTAATGCTCCTTGAAAATACTGGTATTCAATTAGTGTAAATATTAAAAATTATTTGCCCATGAGAAAGGAACAGGATGTTTGCTCCCTTTCTCCAGCCATACTTTGAATCCTGGTGATCAAGATTTTCCTGAAAGATTAAAAATGAAATAAAGCAATCCATTGATTTAGTTACATGATCTTTTTGTATACTAATATACTATATTTTGTCATTTCATTTTTTTCTTCTCCATGTTTTTTAATTTTTTTTCCTATCCAATGGAAACTCACAATCTNGCCACACGTGTGCCAGCCGCAGGGAGTTATGCGTCATAGTGTCCTGGCCCTCGGGGGACCCATACGGCCGCCTTTTCCGGAAAATGTGTCCAACTCTAGAGCAAGGGATGATGAACAGCTTACCTCCACACATCCAGATCCGAAAAGATATTTCTAAATTTTCTCCTCCCCAGATATCCATGCCACTGTCATACTGTCCAAGTTCATTGAAATAGTTTCTGTTCATGGCAAACAATCCTCCAGCCATTGTAGGTGACTTTATTGGTGCAGTCGCTCCCTCCGGTCCCCCGAGCTCGGAGAGTGGGACGAGGTCCCACTTGAAGTGCAGCCCCCAGTTGAAGCCCCCCCGCACCACAGGGGACGAGCTGTAGGCCAGGGTGTCGGCGCTGATGATGTCGATCACCGGGCACACCACCGTCCGCCGGTCCTCCTGGATGGCGGCCAGCAAGGGCTGCAGCCACAGCACGTTCACCTCGCAGTGGCTGTCCAGGAACACCAGGACTTCTCCTGTGGCGTGGGCCGCTCCAATCATTCTTCCTCGAATCAAGCCCTCGCGCTTTGGATTTCTTATCACTTTGATTTTTCCAGGGAGGTATTTTTGGATGTATTCATCTAGTTCTCCTTTCAAATCATCGAAGTCACTGTCATCGTCCACGAGGATGACTTCATGAAGAAGCCGGGCGGGCGTGCGGTCCAGGACGCTGTGCACCGTCCGCAGCAAGGCAGACAAAGCTTCATTGTAGAAACAAATTACAATACTAGCAACGGGCAGATCCGCCGGGTAGGACTTGTCTTTACATGCTGCATTCCTCGTATCTGGCACATCTCTGTGGTAGCCCAAGCGGTTACTAATAAGCATATTGAAGGCATGTTTCTGATACCCCAAGTCTCTCAACTCCTGATCACGTTCATTAAAAATCATACCCAATTCAGAAGAGAATTTCACATTGCCTCTTTTTGGATCTTCAACGTGATTATCTATCACATCATCAATTTTGTTTGCTTTGAATTGTGATTCTAATACTTGACTTGGGCCTCTAGTGAAACGGGGATAAAATTTTTTGGGGAATGGTCCGTGGGGCCCAGACCCCTTGATGGGCACATTCTTAAGTGGCTGAGTCACTTCACTGAAGTTGAAATAAATAAAAAGCAAAAGCGTCCAGGCTGCAGATGTAAAAAGGCATCCATAACAGAAATATCGAACTGTGACACTTCCCATTATAGACCTAGCATTGCTGAAGGGCCATTTTCAATTTCCCCGACGCCGTCAGCGCAGCACCCCGGCCTCTCGGGACTCGGGCTGGAGCATCCTCCCTCCCGCCGCGGCCCGACTCCGAGCCGCATTCGCCGCCGCAGCGGGCGGAGCCCTACACAAGAAAATTTAATGCTATAGATGGTTGAGCTCCATGGTATTATAATCCTCGTCTCGCTTTTTAGTTTAATGCTCCTTGAAAATACTGGTATTCAATTAGTGTAAATATTAAAAATTATTTGCCCATGAGAAAGGAACAGGATGTTTGCTCCCTTTCTCCAGCCATACTTTGAATCCTGGTGATCAAGATTTTCCTGAAAGATTAAAAATGAAATAAAGCAATCCATTGATTTAGTTACATGATCTTTTTGTATACTAATATACTATATTTTGTCATTTCATTTTTTTCTTCTCCATGTTTTTTAATTTTTTTTCCTATCCAATGGAAACTCACAATCTCAAACTCCTTTTTCATCCCTTTGCTGTCAGTGGTAAGGGAGAGCTCAAGATGCTTTTGCTGAACTTAAATGTAGTTGAAATGTTTATAATCAAAGTAAAGCATACCAGTGGAGAAGGAAATGGCAACCCACTCCACTATTCTTGCCTGGAGAATTCCATGGACAAAGGAGGCTGGCAGGCTACAGTCCATGGGGTCACAAAGAGTCAGACACGACTGAGCGACTATCACAGAGCATACCAAAGAGGCACAGTATTTGAGTTTCATAAGTCATGTAGGGTAATTTAAGTATTAAATGCATCAGACAGCTTATTTCCACTTTCTTCATGATAGGCGTAGCTTAAAAAGACTTGGTAGATGTTCTTGTTCATGGCCTTCCCACCTGTGTTTGGGATGAGCTCATCATGGTTTATAAACATAGCTGACATGAAGTAGTCTTTACATGGAATACAACTAAAAAACACCTATTTTGGGTTGTATCAGGTGAGCTATTGCTGACTCACCCTGTGACGCTTTTCAGTCTAAATCATTGCTGGGGCTTGATACGAAGTGTGCCAGTGCTCACCAGTAAGACCAGAGTTCTTTTATGGTTCCTAAATCAAATTCAAGTTCTGAAATTTATGGTGTCTGTTTAAATTCCAGGTGGCTGAGATAAGTTCTCAGTTAACATTTACACATTGGATCATCATCTTCTAGTAAATTCATGGTATCGATAGAAAATGTATGGATTCGTCTGACCTAGGTTCAAATCTTTCTTCTGCTACCTATTCTGTTGGGTAAACCTCTTTGTGCCTCCACTTCCTCATCTGAAAATCTGACAGTTCAAAGATGATGGCTTCATGATTCTTGACTACACATTCACTTTTTAGAATAGTTACAAAGAATTTGCAGTATCTGTCATTGAGGTTTTACCCGTTTTCCCTTCCTTTGTTCTTCGATTGCAGTAACTGATATAGCAGCCTGCTTACTGCAGTCATCAGGGAATTGCTAGTCCTGTGCTCTCATTGACTGGCTCCTCTTGGTGAGCTGGGGCTCCATTTGGGTGTTGTGTTCTTTTTGTTGTTCAGTCGCTCAGTCATGTCCAACTCTTTACGGCCCCAGGGACTGCAGCATGCAGGTACCCCTGTCCTTCACTGTCTCCCAGAGTTTGCTCAGATTCATGTCTGTTGAGTCACTGATGCTATCTAACCATCTCATCCTCTGCCGCCCACTTCTTCTTTTGCCTTCATTCTTGCTCAGCATTAGAGTCTCTGGCAATGAGTTTACTCTTCGCTTCAGGTGGCCAAAGTATTGGAGCTTCAGCTTCAGCATCAGTCCTTCCAATGAATATTCAGGGTTGATTTCCTTTAATATTGGCTAGTTTGATCTCCTTGTAGTCCAAGGGACTCTCAGGAGTCTCCTCCAGCACCACAATTCAAGAGCATCCATCTTTCGCATTCAGCCTTCTTTATGGTCCAGCCCTCACATCCATACATGACTACTGGAAAAACCATAGCTTTGACTATATGGACCTTTGTTGGCAAAGTGATGTCTCTGCTTTTTAATATGTTGTCTATGTTTGTCATAGCTTTTCTTCCAAGGAGCAAGGGTCTTTTAACTTCATGGCTGTGTGTTCTATTAACTGCATTCTGAGTGTGTGTTGACTTGCCAGTCTATCTAGTCCTTAACTCTGGGAGATGAAGAGACAGATTTTGTTTCTTAGGTGTATGCGTTTTGAGAAACATCAGCTCACACTTCCCTACTTTGCTGGGACTTTGCATGAAGGGTAGAAAATGAAAACTAGAGGTTAAGTCACTTATTCAAGATCCACAAGAGTAAACAGGGAAACAAATTCAAACACAGGTCCAACTAGTTTCAAAACCTGCACTCTTAGCTCTCAAATACTTGGTCATTTCTAAAAATAATGTAATACAATCTAGTGGTGAAATAGTGAATCAGGAAATTAAGATTTCACTTCTCAGTTTCACCATTGGCTTTACCTCGGCAACTCAATTATCCTTTGATAATTTGTCCATAAGGATAGTGAGAAATGTAATGTCTGTAGCATTAAAAGCTAAAACAAAATAGCATCAATAAAGACTTTCAGTCTCCAGAGAGGATGAACACTGCATGAATTTATAGTTGTTAATGTTTCATATTGAAGACTTCTGAACACATCCATTTTAAATACAAAAAGGTAAACTTTGAACCATGAATATCCAGATTCTGGGAATCACATGGTAACCAACCTTGAAATAGTTATAACAGTGCCCAAACAGGGTAGGCTAACAGAGCAATGTCACCCAGGTAACTCCCAGAGAAGGCTGCTGGATTGTTTCAGTTAGCAGCAGGAGTATGCATTTCTTGGGCCCAGAACATATTAATCAACTGCCCTGTGCCAAGACTTGAGTTCTGTTTTTTCACTAGAGACCTGTTCTAAATCACTTTGTTCATAATATTGTCATCAAGTTTGCCATCCACAGTTGAGGCATGTCACGAAATGAGCAAAGGAGCTTTTTTCTCCCAAGCTATAACTACAAGAATGAGCTAAGAAAGATAATTTTGAGGATTTAGACTTGTTTCTGTGAAAGCTTATTCTTCTGGACTCTAGAATGCCACCGAGTGTACATTGCCACATCTCCCTTCAAGGGCAAACAGCATGTAATGCTACAGACAGACAAACTCAGTGATGTTTCTCCTGGAAACCTTTAAAAGTACCACCTTTTCCTGGATGCCGGAAAGACCCTCAGCCCACCAGCAGCTGCCTCTGTTTATGCACGTGTGTGCACATAAAGGCACTTACGTTCTTGTTTTTAGAGAAGGGTCTTTTTTTTTTTTTTTTTTTCAGAATGATCTTGTGTTTTAGAAAGATCCTGTTGCTGCCCATTACCAGAGTAATCTAATTATGTATGCTTTACTGATTCCCATCTAGCAATATCCATTTTTCAAGTGTAACTAGGTTTCTTCAATGGTTCTTTAAAAACATATGATCCATCACAAGTAGTTATCATTTCACTTAGAGCTGAAGTCCTTTCATAAGGAGAAAATATAAAATTGTTTTAATTTTGGCATTATCATTGAAGTTTCTCCAAACAATTCTAAATTGATTTGAGAGAGTGTGAGAAAAGGAAAGAGAAAGGAGGAGGGAAAGGGAGAGGGGAAGCAAAAGGGAGAGAGAATGAGAGGGAAGAAATGGAAATGAAAGGTAATGAAGCTTACAAAAAAAACCCCCACAATTTAGCTGAAACTCCTAGCAACACATATAAATAAGGTTAGTTTAAGAAAGCCTTCCAAGGGTTAAAAGAATTGAACTGTCTAGCCTAAAGATTCAAAGCTTCTGACCTTTGACCAACCTTTCACCTGGTCTTCTCTATTGTTCCTTGAGTCACTGTTGAGATGACCAAGATGTCTAGGGGCTGAGAATACTTTAAAGAAAGTTGCCTTGCTAGAGAACGTTTTCCTCCTCAGGTATCTTTATCATGTGCTCAATGCACATGACCTTGACATTACCTGAAAGAGGCCGCTCATCCAAGTGGGTAGAGCACCAGATCATTCAGCACTGCTTTCATTCATTAAGGCACTTTTCTAGCATTGGGCTGGTGACAAGAATCAGGGTCTTCTCCTCCTTTTCTCACCCTCCCTCCCTGCCCTGAAGCTGTTTTGACAACAGTAAGCATAAACTGGAAACCCATATCTCTTTGCAAAGACCTGGAATCAATTAATTGATAGGTAGCTTTTTAGTATTTAACTTTGGACTCATTTATCAAACTCTAACTAAGACTCTTTCCTGGTGATCCAATTAATTGGAATATGCTTTCTAAAGCTGTTGGAGAGAATATCACTGTTTTATTTGCTTTATTGTTACCACTTTCCATGTTGTAGTGTGCTATACATACTTTTCTTCTGTCATCATTTCCCTGCCTATACTGTCGGTTTCATGAATGACAAAATGGGGTTAGTACTTGACCATAATCATGTGAGGAGCTGGCATTGGAGATTGGATTAAGATTTCGGTCATCCAAGTAATTAAACTGCTACACACAGCTTATTTAATCACATTCCTTTCCAAATCCTTCTTTGTTAAAAGTTGGAAGGTTGGGCTATTTTATTTTCTCTTATTCCTATAAGTCAACCAAGGAATTTTTAGGCTGCATCTGGACTTCTTCCCAGTCCTGGCCCATAGCTAACATATGGGAAATTGGCAGAATGTAGGGTCAAGAGAGAAAGGAGTTCTCAATAAAGCACCGTGAAAGCTTTCCCCACACTAACACATCTATTTCAGTGCTCCTATTTTGTGTGGCTGGCAAGTGATGTTGTTTGGGTTTTAAAAAAATCAGTTTGCCCAATTTTTTCAGGCAGACACAAGACAGGATTCTTTGAGGTCAGAACTCGGGCAAAGTATTTGGTTCTGTTGAAGAAGTTGAAATAAAGGGCACTTTGAATGAGATGCATAGATGAAAATGTTGCTCTGGTCTGAATCACAGAGAATGCCAAGTGTGTGTTTGTCAAAGTATTGTGGGAGTATATTAGGCATTTTGGACATAGAAGCAGGTGAGATTCGTGCCACCTTCTTGCAAAGTACAGTAAAACCCCTTCTTCCTTCATTAATATTTCTTCCTTTGAAGATAAAGGAGCTACTTCCA